ATTCTAAAATCTGCAAATTTTCTGCAACCTATCCAACCTTTAACCTTTAACCACTGCTCTGTTCATTTATTTCTTCGTGTTATCATTGATTCATTTTGATCTTCTGACAATTTTCTTTTTTTTGGAGCTGACAGTAACACTTTAAACGCTTTACCTGCAGCAGCTGCTAACCGCTAACTTGTTTTTCCCCAAACAACATATGAGTTCAAGTTCAGGACCAAATATCTGTCAGAACAGAAAAAGTAACATGAAGCTTTTTATTAACTCACTCATTTCAAATTGTAAATCTTAATTACACAATAGTAAATTACATGGTTGTGTTTTTTTTTTTTTTCTGCAGACCAACTGCACCATCTTAAATGCCCAGCAGGGGGCCACAGCATACACTTTGGGCATTGCTGACCTAATTGTAGAGGTTTATTAACACGTGGTAAACATTTATACATTCTATACAAATTATAACAGATATCATACAGTTAGATTTTATGTCTTTAATTATTGAAGTTTAGGACTGTGTGTTTCTAAAAAAAAGTGTTTGCTTAGTCTTTGATGTATTCCATATGATATTACAGTATGGTAAGGTTGTGTTGTTTTTGCAGCCCTGTCCAACATCCTACATACACTTCAGTCATCCGGCCACACCCTGCACTGCTGCTATCCTGCACATTCACAGCTCCCTTCCACGCTTTGGTTAAACAAACTGACAGGACAGTTGAGCACTTTATGTATGTCTTTTGGGCCCAGTTGGTATGAGCATGTCAGACTCACTGGAGTCCAGAGTTTGTGTCAGCTGGACTTTCATTAACACCACCTGACTGTGAAACCTGCACCAAAGTGTTGTACTGTTGGTCAAATGCTCTGTTCTCATACACTTCATTCATACACACGTCATTCTCTTTCTTATTACCCACTGCAAAAAAGCAGGAATTTCTCATTGTGACAGTGAAAAACTTAACAGATATCAGAAGACTTCCTCCAAACAAAGTACAGCAAAATTCAGACAGAAGCCAGCTGAAATGTAATGTCAGCAGCTCAGCTGTCAGCAGGGAGGAAAACATTTATAATGTACAGGGTGTAAAAAAAACAAAGGGTCATGGCTGGTTTGTTTTAAAGTTTATGAGTAAAAGGAATTTGTAGACTTCTCTGCAGCAATAAATGGATGAGAAAATTGCAAAAGCAGGGAAATATTCAACTCCTGACTAAGATAAAGCCCATAGCCTTGCATAATAAAATAAACTAAGTAAAAGAAAGAAATATTAAACTATACAACTTAAGGTGTTTTTTGTTTTGTTTTGTTTTTTGTCATGGTGACAATTAATTACAGAAAAGTTTCTCTTTTTTCACTATTTCACTATTTCATTACAGTTTTGCTTTGTTTTGTTTGCTGTGGGTCTGTGGCCATTTATTCAGATTAGTCAGATGAATCTGATTTTCTGTGAATGAACAGAAAATGTCATCTTTTCAGTTAGAGGACAAACTCAGTCCTTTTTGCTTTTTCTGTAATATTACGGATTTACATCTCAGGCTGTTCATCAAATTTGATAAAGCATCGTTTGATTAAAGGATGTGTTATTTAATTTATCGTGTACCTTGATTTTCTTTACAGTAAAAAAGTCAGGTGAAATGTTTTATAGGTTATTGAGCAATACTTTTACTCGTCTGCCACGCTTTGGATCAAACTTCGCTGTATGTGTCTCATGAAATTAAATGAGCTCTATGATAATTTATACTAGTAGATGGTAAATACCCAACTTTCAAATAAACAAAATGTAGCAGCGGGCCGGTTAGCGTTATTTCTGTTTATGAACGTCACTGCCCCTCCCTATCAGGGCTGTACGAGGTCCCTTTAATATCCCTGCAGGACAGCAGTGTTAAGAAGGAGTTCAGTTCATGTTTAAGAAAACCTGCTTGCGTAAGTGGATCCAAAGATCCAAAGAATTATGGAGGTAAATTTGACTGAAAAGGGTTGCATATGCGTACAATGTGACCCACGAGCGTAAACTACACGCGTACAGCGATTTCTGTGTAATGTTTAAGGACTCCTACGCGCGTGCTCCAATCCACACAGAAATACGAAGCGAGCCGACCACAGGTATAACACTTTTATTAACGTGTACGTCCAAACCTGAATAAATACTGATCATTTACGCACATTTAAATAACTAATAATTAAGTTCGGCTTCACGGATCCCGGATCTGATCATTTTGGCTTTCAAAAACCACAGCTGAGGGTCGAAAGAGCCGCGGCTCTGTGACCTCTGCACTAAAACACCGAAGCGAGTGATTTGTGATGTGAAAAGAAGCAAATGAAACAACCCGACAGCGGTTTGACTCACCTGAGCAGCGTCCTCTGCAAATGGAGGTGAAGCCCTGACCGATGTGTTTTACTTCCTACTCTAGGATTACTTTCTCTTTCAGTTATCATGAAGCAGAATCTAGGGATGAAGCACTCTTCCTCCTCCTCCTCCTACCTACGGGATCCGGTTTTCAGCTTCATCACCCCTGATGGGAAAATGTTGCGCCATGAGCTGGTGTATGTGCTCACACACCTTTTACGTCCAAGTGTGCCCAACAATGAATTCCCACAAAGACACCACTACATCAGGAGGAATTTAGGCTCTATGAATCAAGTGTGAGGTTTAATGCTTTACTTGTGTTTTTGTGGCTTTTATCTTTTACCTGCTCGTGTTAGGTCAGGATCACTTAAGTGGAAAGAATGTGTCATACATTCAACCAAACACTGTTCCAAGTAATCTTGCACAATCTGGAAATATCCTCTAAATTTTTTGGTTTCATTTTCAAGAAAATGCGAAGGCTGTGTCATCTCTGATTCCACTGCAGAAATAAACGAGGGCATAAATAATCCTTATTCTTGTTCTCTGCACACCAACCCACCCACGACACTGCCATGGTTTGGCTCATCTCTGATGGAGATGAGAGAGCAGAGAACTTGTCCTGCTGGTGCTCAAAAAACAACCCGAAGCTTATCACGAACTTCAGAAGACACAGACAGGTCCACTCCCCTCTCATTATAAATGAAGAATGGGTGGAATCTGTCTCCACTCGAGGTTTCTGGGCACCCACATTTTTGTCAATCTCGCCTGGACCCACAACACCAACGCCATGGCAAAGAAAGAAAGCCCAAAAGCGGCTAAACTGTGTGCAGTTGGTCTCACAATGTGTTGCTAGCTGAAGGTCCAGCTGCTGTATTTTACAGGGAGAGAAAAGAAAGAGAGTTAAGTTCACTCAGAGATGAAGATAAGAAAGACAGGAGAGGAGAGGAAGACGAGAGGTTA